AAAATGCAGCCTGCAGACTTACTGTGGACTATTGTTTTCAGGGTTAGAAAACAATGGGACAATTGTTGTCACATTCTCATTTGCATGGTGAAAACAATAGTCCGCAGTCTGCATTTTACACTGACTGATTTCACAACTGATACAGAAGTCGACAACATAAATATAACCTCTCCACGAGGGATCAAAAACTGAAATAGAGTTTTAGCTTATTTCAGTTATTTATCAACAGAGCAATGACCTGCACTTGTGACCTGTGACCTGTGACCTGTGACGTGTATTCTGTACCTGCCAAATTTCATGTTTCACCTCAATTTGTCTAATTTGTACCAGATCTCCTGGATTTACTTGATGATTTAAGCCATAAGCTTAATCCTTTAATTACCATTACCAAAATTACTTGCTTATAAGACCATCGTTTTCTGCAAAATAGTCTTACATTTTCGCTAAAGCTTAACTTAAGCTACAATATAACCGGTGATCAGGTGTTTTTTTGTTATAAAAGGGAAGAACGTCTGCCTGATTGCAGGTTAGCTATAATGTAATCAAACATAAGCTTACCTCACAAGACCCATGCCAGATTGTTCACACCTTATGCCATACCACGTTCAAGAATTTTTAGATAATGAATAAAGCGAAGTGTTGAAGAGAAAGTAAAAGAACTGCTGAAGCTCAAATCCGAGTTCCAGAAGTCTAATTATGTTACTTTCAATCCAATTTACTACACAACTGTCTGGTCAATAATCCGTCACCATATTGGTTTCATTTAGAACCCAGTCTCTCGATTAGCGCGTATGTCTCGCACGCGGGCTTTCGCAGTACTAATTTCGCGTTTCTCGAGTACTGGTAAAACGCACGCAATGGAGTCGAGGAAATAAACATTTTCATGCCAAGACCAATAATGTCCCGGTTCTTGTCATGCTTTATTACTTGTTCATGAACTTTCGTGAGTTATGAGCGAGATAAATAGTAAATATTACTTCTAACAGTGACGAGCGCTTCAATTGAGTAAGGAAACCAGCACATGAGGAATGCGAGTGCCGAAACCCATTAGCCTGGGACCAGGCTCCACAGCGGGGGAAAAAATCAAAAAACAGGGTCAAATAGGATAAATATCGGCGAGAGAAGCAAGCCGAAAGGTATCCTGGGGAGGGGGAAAGGGCGGCGCAGCTCCGACATCCTTTCCCCTCCCCAGACTACCTTTCGGCTCGCTTTGCTCGCCGACCTTTTTTTCGCCAACGCCGATTTTTTCCCCTTTTTCCGGAGCCTGGTCCCAGGCTAGAAACCTAGCCTGGGACGAAATAATCTCGCACAAGCACAAGAATTTGTCTTACCTTTTCATTAAGAATATCAATGGTTTCTTTGGCATGAAGCCTTCTTCTAAGAGCCAAGCTCTCTTGCAAGTTTACGTCCATGAAGGTACATTTGTGTACCACACTAAAATGCTGGGAAATGCCATTTCTTTCGAAAACTGTGGGTCTTTTTCACAAGAACTGTGTGGACAGGGGATTTTGCCCTTCGGGACGAGCTGGTGAACTTTCTCTTCGCTAAAAAACACTCGAAATGATTCTTTTTCTTTCCCTCTAATTTTGTATAAACTACTTTCCGCCATTTTGAAATCGTAATCTGCCAGGCGAGTTTTTCTCTTCGCCTTTCCCATGATACCTAGCGCGGCACCGAAATCCCAGTCGCTCTCGAATCCGGTAGAACGCGCCTGGGTATGAGGCAGGACGTGAACAGCCAATCAGATCAATAAGCAGAGTATAATACCATGAACTGACGTGATACAACTCACTTTGACTCTGAAGATGACTACCGCACAGGTTGTCGAAACGTCAGTCACTGTGAACAACAACAGTCCTATTCAAGCTTATTCAGGACTGCGTTCACCCGGACGATCAAACTCAACCTACTTTTGAAATGACTCCTGGGTTCAAACCTTTCACAATATATACTTCAGCGGATATTTTACAACACAACAGAGCTGCAATACTTTTATGGTGAATCCCTTAATTTCCACTGCTACGTTTGGTTGTTTTTTAAAGTTGTTGTTGTTGTTGTAAACATTTTAATACAATTAAAAGTGTAGAAGGGGACTTCTACAGACTTTAGGATTATGTAAAGAGAGATGACACAACCAGAGTTGCAGCTGAAAACGGTTTAATCTTGCTTACGCGTTGTTACAAGCTCTCCTTAGCTATCTCAGATCTCAAGGGGTAAAGAAGCTACTCACAAGAGATTCTATTTATACTGAACAATTAAGTTATTAATAAATTGATTTTTTCAGTTTTACATGGCATTCATATGCAAGGAAAAGGTGTTAATACGTGTCAGAGTTTAGAAAACAAAAGAAACTGAAATTGAGTTGATCCCAGCTACGCGTGGAAGAAATTTGCACAAATTCCTTTACAGAGAACCAAAACGATAGTTTGAAAGTAACGAAATTTTCTTAAGATTGTGTCGAAAGAAGTTCTATTTCGAGGTCAGAAAAGTAAGTAAAATTTGGCTGAAACTGGTTCAACAGAGAACAAATAACTCAAAAGGTGTTAGGACGCGTGGCCTTGAGCTAGATTTAATGAGGTAGGCAAGACTGATTATTATTCATGTTTGGAAGCAAAAGTGAGAACTGATCTCGTCTTAGAACAAACGAACTTCGTCAAAGAAATTGCTCGTTCTTCCATCCACAGCTGAAAACACCTACTAAAGAAAATAATTATCGGCTATCCAGTGAATTTGTTTTATGTTACCGAAATATACTCGAAGAGGTGTTCCTTAATACTAGTTGAAACTTTACAGTCAAGATCAGCTTTAAAACTATACTTACGTTAATGTTAAGAGTTAAACCGTACAACTTGCTTTTTTAGAATTATTTGAAACCCAAACACCAATATAGAATACACTGAATATATATTAATGATTACGAAGAGAAGCGCATGCAATAAAGCAGACTACTAAGCAAAAATGTACGCTAACAAAAGGATCAAAAAAGGTGACGAGGATAGAACGTCACCCTATTGATTTCTCTTGAAAGCCAAGTGGGAGCAAAAAAAACTTTTATAAACGGCAAAATGACTATTTATTCTAGCCAGCTAGCATATTGGGCCAGACACGAACTCAAGCATTAAGGCGGTTTTTAAAATACCGTGTGGCACCAAATTTTTGCAGGAATATATTTTTGCGGATTGGCGATTTTTGTGTTTTGCGAGAACTAATTTTTGCGATTAGGACAGATTGGTTTTTCTCGCTAGGAATTAATTTTTGCGATTTTCAGAAAGTACCCAGTACTCAGCATTGATAATATTTTCATTTTTATTGAGTACGTGCAATAGAAATACATATTTTCAAACAATAAACCAGTATTTAAACGTATACCGTTTTGTTTGTGAATGAAACAGACAAGTTGTGATTGAACAGACACGATTTCTAAGTACTGTATTATTGTGTAGCGAATTTAAGTTAGCGGACATTTACTCTGGAGTAAATTTTTTGGGAAAAAATCCTTGCGCTAATTTTTTTTTTTTTGTGGAAACTAATTTTTGCGGATCGTTTAAAAAATCGCAAAATCGCAAAAATTAGAGCCCGTAAAAATTTCTTGACACACGGTAAGTCATGGCACGACAGTTGGTTTGGGCTTACATGTAGCGAATTATTTTCCCAATGATGCCATTATCAAACTGGGTATAAGGTAAAGAAAAAACCTTATGGCTTATTTGTTTTGTGGTCACTCGCTCTGATGATGTCACGTAGCTAGAATAAACTACAACGCCTTTTTTTGTCTTTTTACATTAAGACAATCACCAGTCCCTGGTCAGTCGCCATAAAAGTAAGCTGAAATCAATGGCAAAGGATACTCAAATACTAAAAAAGAAAAGGTTATATGGAACTGCCATTAATACTTCTTCAGATAGATATGTACACCTTACACAACTTTGGTCTCTTTAAAATTAAATGCCGATTAAACTCTCTGCAAAATTTATCGGGAGCACCCAACGACTGTTTTCTATAAAATATCTGTTCGGAGAAGCAAATATTGCCTAGAATTTTCTATCACTTGAGGATGGCTAAAAATTACTAGATAAGTGTTCCATTCATGTACAATTTTTGAAACTTATCTAATAAATCCCCCCACGATTTTCTGAAGTTTAATTTTCACATTTTACTTCCCAAGTTAGGCTATTTTTTTTTTTTTTAAAAAAACGAAACCTAAAATTTTCAGATTCAAAAATTTGATGGAGAGAGGAATCAGAAAATGTCTCACTTTCGTAAAAAGTCAAGTTGCGTCTAAAATTTTCGGGGGATTAAATACTCAAGCCCTTAAAATTTCGAAAAGACTCAAGTTCCCCTAGGGTGACCGAACAGATACAAATTTTATAGCGCCACTTAAAATGAATTTCTCCAGCTCTAAAAGTACTTTGGATAGCCTGAAAAGTGTTTTCAATGTATTAAAGAGGAAAATGTCGTTGGCCTGACCCCAGTTCCTGGTGTATGTATACGTTTTGCTACCTTTTACAGCTTTTAGTCAAACAATAAAGATAACGGAAGGCTCTGAAGTGCTTTCTGCTACTTTAAAAGCCCCAATTTTTACAGGGATCATTACTAACCTCTTCACATAATTCTTATGTTAATCTTCAAGCTTCTTACACCCCGCTGTTAGCTCGTTACCTTTATATTTAGTTTTGAGTTTGTAATTTGGTTCGGGGAGAGAAATGACTCCCATTGTATCGGGTTTTTAAGAGCGAATAAAGTTACTTTCGTTTTAACGTTTGGGAAAATACCGCAGAGCTAATTCAAAACATCCAAACTCTACTACACGGATTATTCACCGAAATCACTACATAAAATAGAAATAAAATAAAAGTACAGACGATCTGATTGATCACAGAAGAAAAACAAAGAGAGCTGTAAATTCTGTAAATGATTCCAAAAAAAAACCGCTTCTATTCTTACAAGTCCTTTGTCTTTTTTCATCCTACAGAACTGCTCAAAATGAACACCAAGAAAACTCAAGGATTCGTATCTGAAATGAGTTTATGGCAAGCTTGTAAGTGATCAAAATTGATGTGACCCCAGTGCCCTGAGTAATGGTCAACCAAACGCAACTGGGCATTTTTACCAGCGTAATCTGTTACATTCCAGCTTTTCTCTTTCATAGCCCCATCACACTCAGTCGGTGTCTCCATGCGAAGCACTTCCCCATCAATAATAAGCTCGGCACGAATGTTTGGAACTGTATGACCTGTGCAGCCTGCTCCAATCAGGAAGGTAAGCAACTTTCCAGTAATCTGAAAACTGGGTGACGTCAATGAGCCTTGAGGACCATCACCTTGCTCTCCCCCAAACGGTTCAGAGGGACTGGACCGATCCTCGTAGGTACCAATCCACCAATCCCCTTTGTGGTTGCTCCAAGCCCTACCCGTCCTTGATAACGTGTTATTCCCGTATGTTGGCTGATTATTGAATGCAGTACCATTCAAAGTCCAGTTTGACAAATCATGGTCTTCGAAGTCAAATATTGTGTAACACTCTAGTGGGAGAACAAAAGATATTTAAGATCAGAGAGTGAGATGAAGGTGACTGTGAGACAATCAGTTTGTTCATGTTAAAAGAGAAGCCATAGGAGACCGTTTTAATAGTGAAATTGTCATTTGCATAATTATTATAAAGATCGAGATGAATTAAACAGAAGAAGCAGCCAAACCAGTTTTTACCTCGTTAGAAAAATATCAGACTGATCAACATTTCTGCAAGCGATGAGACACTATGTTGCCAGAGGCAGTTGTTAAAGAGTTTTCCTTAACTCTTCTAAAAAACAAACCAGTCCTTTCTTATATGATGTTTTGTTTAAAAGTTTACGATTTACATGATCTAAGATCATAACTGTCAAAGCATCCAATGCCTCAGACTATAGAAGATTCATTGGTGTTCAATGCACAGCTTTTTTTACATACGCTAAAGGAAGAAAACTCTCCATCTAGTGCGCCAGTTATTGTTAACACTTTATTAGCCGTTTTTTTCGGGAACTATTCGGAACCTCAAACCGGTAAACATTATCATATTTCACGCTGATCAATCATTGCTGTCTTTTACCCTCGCTTGCAACTGCTTTATCTTGGGAAGTTTGCACTAACAGTGGTATACCTGTGCACTTGTATCCATCTCCATAGTAACCAATATTGCAGGTGCATCTGAAAGATCCTTCAGTGTTCGTACAAGTTGCGTTCTTACCGCATCTCTTTTCTTGACATTCGTCTATATCTAGAATAATGTTGTAATAGTGTCAATTAACCACTAAACATCTCACTTGCGTTTATATTCTTTGTAAAGCGGAACACAGTGAATAAGCCGCCCTTTCTTTTAAGTCTTCTCTCCCTCTCTTTCCTAAGGAAATAGATCAATGGTATACTAGCATAATATTTCTGTTATAAGCTCTCCTTTTCGCCTTCTTGGCCAGAGAAATAATACCTCGCTTATAACTGAGCTTTCCACTTCCATTCGCACGCTGGAATGGAACAACAACTAAGGACCCAAATAAACACTGGGATACCCTTGCAGTTGTATCCATCTCCATGGAGACCAGTCTTGCATTTGCATCTGTAAGATCCCTTTGTGTTTTTACAATCTGCGTTTTCTCTACACTCGTGACTTTTTTCATCGCATTCTTCAATATGTAGGATCACGATGATATAGTTTTAAACCCATATAAGGTGTATCAATGTATCAAGCCTAAGGAACGACAATTTTCATTTTCTATTGATACAAGAGCTGTCCTTAAACGAAAATGAAATTGATAGTAGTCATATGGAAAAATAATCCTACTCCACAAGCGGCCTATCACATTTTAGTAAAATCCAACTAGTGGTCTATTATCAATGCTGCGTTCTGATTGGTTGAGCAACTACTAGGCTATATGTTATAGCCCCCTAGTAGCGAAAAGCGCGCGCTTTTTGGCGGCAAAAAAGGATTAAAGTCCAGCTTTAACTAGCTAAATTTTTTTTTTCTTGATATTTTTGACCAACTAGTTAAATTTTACTAAAACTATTATTTCTCTCGGCCTCATGGTCTCTGAGTCAATAGCCCATGAGGCCTTCCGCCTCATGGGCTATTGACTCAGAGCCCATTCGAGCTCGAGGAATGATTGTTAATTATCATGTTGGAACTATTTTAAAGAGCCCCTAAAGATGTAACATACGACTTAATAGAACTCGAAAAACTTTTTTGAATAGAAATGCTTTTATATCACGTTATTCAGTGCTATCAGCTGAGGGTTTTCACTTCCTTATTTTACCTGTGCAGTTAACGCCGTTTCCAGTGTATCCTGGTTTGCATGTGCAAATGAAAGAGCCGTTAGTGTTGTTACAGAAAGCATTGGAGTCGCAGTGATGCTTTCCTGTCTCACACTCGTTTATATCTGCAAATAGTAAATAGAATGCTTTGATTTATTTAGAAGAAGATAATTTTTTACTGAATGATTCCTTCAATCGTCTGTTGATAGTAGTCATAATA